CACAACTTCAAAAAACGCTTATGCCATAGGAAAAAATAGTGGAAGCCAATTTTAAACTGCAAGTTCAATTTTATATTTACTAGCTGGCAACATGTCATGTACAATACAAGTACAACACTGCCAACTGGCGATGTATGAACCCTTGGACAGCTTAATCCTACAAGCACCGACTGCTGGGGATGTGATTTCCTGAAACCGAACTGTGGCTCCTGGTGTAAAAATTAAAAAGTTGTTGAAGATTGCTAGTTCGGTTGATTCCATTGGATTTTAAAGTTTTCCAGTTCACCTGAAACTCATCAGACTGAAGAAGTCTCTTGGAGGAGAGACGAAACGTTTCACTAAAGAAGAACTCATCCAGAGGACCTACTTATTTTTTCTTTTCGATTTTTTTTCTACCTGGATCAGGATGTTTTCCATGTAGTTGCTCCAGTTGACCACTAGATGTCAGTCTTCACCAGCATAACATCTTTAAATCATTTCTGAGTCTCTAACACCGTTGGCCGATTGCTTTTGAGTTCCAACGTTTAAACTTTATTTTTTTTGAAAAGGAGCTCTGATTGTAAAGTAAAATAAATCAGTACATACAAAATTTTAGTATGGATTACAAACGTTTACTGTTTTTGCTGTTGTCTTCCTGCTACGTAAGCAGACACAAAGCATTGTGGGAAATGTATGTAAAATGAGAACCGTGACCCAAAGCAACAGTCAACAGGATGTATACCTTCACAATAAGAGTGTTTATCTGGGAGGGGTGCTGTTGGATAGATCACATGTGTTGTGATTCATTGACAGTCATACCTTTTGCTGTTCAACATAATGATGACTGGTAGATAATTAGTTATTAGCAGTACTGCATTTTAATTTTATAAAGTGCAAATCTGTTTATGAATTATAATAGCTAGTAAGTCCGCTAAAGCACAAATGAAATATTTAGGTCCGCAATTAGCTGATTTGCGCTTTAGCAGGCTTGTGCCCACCACTGCTAAATATATATGTGGGGAAATCAAAAGGTATGTTTACCTGAAAAATGTTTTGTAAACATCTATGAATTTCTTGTCAGAAAGGTAAAACTTTTGAACAAGCCCAAATTATGTCACCACATAGTCTCCAGCAGTCTGTTTTTATATTTTGGTGAGCTTTTTGTGCTGGGGTGATAAAAAACAAATTACATTTTTTAATTTATTTAGTTTTTAAATGAAAAATGTTCTGGAGACAAACTGGTCTCCAACACTCGCAGCCCAGAGAGATCCTGGCTTTAGTTTAGAAAAATAAATACTGTTTTTAGATAAAAATCTGTAACAGTTTGTGTTTTTCTTCTGTGAAAATACACAAAAACAAAGGAATTCCAGTAAAATATTTTATTAGTCCCTAAAAGAAAATGAATTACACTGATGCTTAGTTTATAACTGAAGACTAGATGTCCAAATAAACAAAAGAAACATCTAGGGGTTGGTTTTAAATCTGTCTGCAGACAACATGGAGACAAACGACTACAACACGGCGACAACACGCACCTGCAAACCCACAATCCTCAGCTCCTCCTGCAGCCATGAAAACACCATAAAACTGCATTCCTGAAATTCCTGCTGTCCTTATTGGCCTTCCAGACTCCCCTCACTTCACCTCCCTCGTTCATGTCTCCTCCTCTGCTCCAGCATCTGGGCTTTGTTTACAAACGGCTTCCTCTCTAAAAGGGCAGGTGCAATGCATTCTGGGAAAACTAAATATCTGCTAATGATTTTAAAATCAGGGATATTTGATGAGAACGAGCAGCTGGTTCGTTGGTAAGGAATAAATATCCAACTTTTTGTAGCTGACGGATTATTTTTCTGTCTCCAGGCGAAGTGTGAGCAGAAGCAGGGCGGGCTTCACACCTGCACCTGTCCTGACGGCTACGCAGGAGACGGGAAGATCTGCTTCGGATCTTTACTGGATGTAAATATTCAGATGGATCAGAGCTGCTCAGTCAGGCCTGTTATATAAAGACTTGTTTGTTTTTTTTTATCAGGGTTATAAAAACTAAATGTCATATTTTCTTCTAATTTTGAGCTTTAATAGATTTATATTTTCATTTTTTTAACTCAAATAACTGTTTTTAGGAGCTGGACATGAACATAAAGATGTACAGTTTCTTCAAACTGATCCAGGTGAGTCTAAAGTTTTTTAAAATAAATCCTTGAATTAATCTTTTGTAAGAGTTCAGTCTTACACTTCTTTATAACAAAGTTATAAGAGTAATTTATTTAGCAAGGATCACTTTTATTTTGGGTAAACATTCCTATAGTGCAAAATTGAATGGACACAAGAAGTGACTCTCACTCAGTGAATGTTGATTTGATCCATAAATATTGCGATCATTTATTTTACAAATCATACAGAATCACTAAGTGCACTTGATTGTGAACAATTAATTTCCTATAAAAGTTTGGGACCAACAATAACAAGCTTTTAACTTTTTTATTGTTAACCACACTTAAATAGAAACACAAACGTCTAGCTTAGATGTTTGATACCAGACAATTTGAGGCAATTATCTTAGGGTTGGCAAGGAAGAGTTTAAGAAAAAGTAGAAAGTAAGGTGTTAGCTTTCCTACACTTTTATCTTAAATAATGTGGGTTTTAACCAGAAGGGCGAAGCGTTCTACTCGGCGTCGGCCAGACAGAGAGGTTCATAACAGCCAGCTTTTTACCTTAAAGATGACGTTCTGTCACCTTGTCCAGGTATTTCGGGGGTGCTGCTAGAAAATCCGTCTCAGGACCGTCAAACAGGGAACCCCAAGGCGTGTTTTTGTCTTGCTTGCGTCCGCGTCAAGCTGTAGAAAGAAGGCGACCCCAAATTGGAAACTGGCTTCAAAATAAAACTTCTGTCTGAAGGTTTTCTGAAGTGGATCGACCAGGCGTTGGTCTGAGCCAGGCTGTAAGGTTTTCCCCGTTGGTGTGAAGGGGCCAAAAACTGTCAGCTCAGCTTCTGACTCTGAGGGTCTAGCTGTCAGAGTGACTGACGGCGGTCCGTCACCTACTGCCGTCTGGGCGGAAACTGTTAGTACTAAAGAAGCTTAGAGAATCTAAGTTCCGCCCTCCAGAAGGTTAGATTAGAGAAGTTATATCAAGGAAAAGGTTAGTTTCAGAGATTTGCCGTGCCTCCAGAAACTAAACAAGATTGTTGATGCTGTGTGATTCAGAACAAAACATTTCATGACCTACTGTATATTAATTATCATCTGATGAGAAGTCTTCAAAACATAACTGAAAGAAAAATGAATTGTTTCAAGTTCAAAACATTTGCAAATATGATTCAGACAAGTAAAACATTGATATTTCATCAACTTTAAACCATAAAGATTATTTTAGTTTAAGATTTTTTCCCACAGAAAAACCATACATGGCTGAAATCATACTGAGGGAGAAAAGAGATCTGTCCTCTCTTCTGTAACTGATAAACATTCTCTGACTATCAAAATGCATAATACTTTCAGTTAAGAGAACAATAAATCAAATAAGACGAAGATTCTTCTGTCTATTATCTGATTAAAAGGGAAGAGAATGTCTCTTTGAAAGGTTAAGGCGACCTGAGGTGGCCTAAATTCAGTTCTAAGTGGAACAGAGTTCTTGTCCCTTTAGAGGCCCATCAGAGGACTGAGAGTCCAAGACAGTTTCCTTGATAAAAAACCTTTACCTGGATTACTGAGATGCATCAAGACAGTTTTCTTGATACTTTCACTCGAGGTGACCCCTACACTTTTAGTGACTCAGGATTTTATTTTCGTTTTTTAATGAATCTTTATCTGTTGGTCCGTTTCTAGAAGTTCAGCCACGCCTCCGAGGATCTGAGCGGGAACCTCACAGTCCTGGTTCCGTCTCGAGATGTCCTGAAGAACATGAGCGCCGATGAGAACTCGTTCTGGACCAGCCGACACCGCCTGCCTCACTTCCTGCGGTCAGTGGTTCATCTTCGGGTGGGGGGTGGGGGTGGGGGACACTTGGACAGGTCTCCAGTCCATCTGAAGCTGCATGTTCAGGCTGTGGAATGATGGTGATCATGTGTTTCCTCTTCCTGGTTTCAGGGCTCACATCTTGGTGGGGGTCTACTCTGTGGAGGATCTGGACCGTCTGGTGGGGAGCAGGCTGCCCACTCTGAACCCGTCCACTCAGTGGGAGATCAGGAACATCAGTGGGGTAAGAACCAGATCCTGGGTCCAGTTGACAAAAACCACAACCTGTCTGCGTTCAGATGGTTTGTGTAAAATCCTAAATAATAAACATCTTACCTGTTGTAGATAGATGCAGCCATCTCCAAACAACTCAAATCCTGAAGTTTTCCACCGTCAGTTATTAAAAAATAACTGATAATCTGGGACTATAAGACAAAATGAGTGCTTTGTTTTTATTTTTGTGCAGATAATCCATATTGGAAATGCTGCCATCATTGTTCACAACCTGCCTGCACGCAACGGTTACCTCCACATCGTAAACCAGGTACAGACCACCTCTGAGAGAATAAAACGTAACGAGGAACTGACGTAACTGTTGACCTGTAATCTCTCTGTGATGTCAGGTCATGACCCCGCCCCTCTCCAGTCTCCCACCTGAACCCCCGACGCTGATGGCTTTCCTGAACTCATCCTCCAGCTTCTCCCTCTTCGGGCGATACGCTCTGGTGAGAAGTTCTCCTGAGTGTTTAACCTTTGAAGGTCGTACCGCAGGCTTGACTCCGCCTTGTTGCAGGTGTACAACCTGTCAGGTGAGCTGGAGGATCTGGAGTTTACCCTCCTGCTGCCGACAGACGAGGCCGTCAGGCAGCACCTCAGCAGGACGAACTCATCGGTGCTGGTAGGTCCTCCATCCGATCCAGTTAACTTTGAGTGCTGAGTCAGCATTTTCTGCTGCTTTCCTGTTTAAAAGGCCTGTGACACGCTTATCCTTAAAATACAAAAAGTCAAGGAAAATATATTTATATTTAAGAAAATTTGCATAATACATATGATTTTACCTATTTTATCTCAACTGGCATATTTTCTCTTGAATTTGGCTCAGCGAAGTGAAACAGGAAGTGACATCAAAGGGCAACTCTTTAAGAAAAGAAACTCTGGTTTTTGTTTATTGAAACAATATTATTTAAACGCTTCTTCAACTCTGATAGTGACTTAAAATAATAAAAAAAACATCAGATTTGTCTATACAGTCTGTGTTGTTGGCTGTTGTAACAGCGCTCTGTTTACATGCAGACATTCCCCTTTGACATCACTTCCTGTTTCTTCACATGCAAATATCTCAACAGCTGTTCATTTCAGCAGCGTGAAATTTGTTTTACAATATGTTATCAATGTTCTCTTTCCAAAAACACATTCACATTTATTACAAAAATGTGATGTCACAGGCCCTTTAAGGTGTTTGGACTGAAACTACTTCAGCACACCTTTAACGATTTGCACCAGGTGTGTCCAGCCCTGGGCCAGAATGTTGTAGATGTTTCTTCTGCAGAACCTGAAGACCTGCTGAACAGCAGAGAACCAGCTGGAACATGCAGCATAGCCTCCAGCACCAGGACAATTTTTGTCTTCGGCTACCTGTTAGTTAGCTTTTAGCCACTTTTAGCTTAACCTTTGTTACTTTTAGCTATCATTTCACTACTTTAAAGCTAAAGTATCCCAATATAGCAGAGGCTAATCTTTATCTACTTTAAGCATCTAGCTAAGTTTTAGCTACATTTATTCACCGTTTTACAACTTTTAGTTTGCAGCTATCAATTCACCACCTTTAGCTTTACCTAGCGTTTATTTACTTTTAGCTTTTATTTAGTCTTCAAATACTTTTTAGTTTTTGGATTTTGGCTAGCATCTAACTCCTGTTAACCTATTGCTAGCCTTTTGCTACTTTTATTTTTAACTAGCATTTCTTTGCTTTTGACTTTAGCATTTAGATACTTGATAGCATTTAGCATATTTTAGATTTTTAGCTAGCTACCCTTTTTTAATTTTAACTTGTAGCTAATCTTATGCTACTTTAAGCTTTTAGCTACCTTTTTGCTACTTAGAGGTAGAGTTATCTACCTGCAACTTCAAGATTTTTAGCTAGCAACCTTTTTTGTGACATTTAGCCATCAGTTAACCTTATGCTACCATAAACCTTTAGCTCTAAGTAGCTAAAAGGTAGCTACACTTATTTAATTGTAACTTTTTTTTAGCTTTTATTCATCTTGTTTTAAGTTTACAAGCTCAGTTTGTCTTCTTCAGCTGATATCAGGTTCAGCTGATCCCAGCATTCACGCTTCACTTCCACAGGAAGGGGTTAGGATTGCAGTCTTTATTTATCTAATCGCTAAAATGTTAAAGTGAAAATATTTACGTTAAAAGAGAAAAAGGCTAAAATCCGGACAGTTTCATCATTAACTCCTCGTTTCTGCCGTCCAGGACTCGGATACGTTCCGGTACCACGTGATTCCCAAAGAGATGCTCTTCCCGGACCAGCTGCACGACGGTTTGGTAAAGAGCACTCTGCTGGGCGCCGACTACCAGGTCCAGTTCCACCTGAACAACAAAAACCAGGTAAGAACAAGCTGCACAGTTTCCTGACCCCAGAGAGAGTCAATTAAATGAAACACATGCAGTTAGTAGAACCCAGCTGTCACAGGTGAGACACAGCCAGGTGAACTCCCCTGATCTGCCTGGATAATAAGAGGAGGATTAACGATCCTCTTCAACCCCAAGGAGTTTTCTTGAAGTTTGTGCTCGAAAAAGTATGCCCAAATGTAACTGGGTGTATCTCAGCACCTGATATCAAAATAAAGCTAACGGGAGATTTCATCAGGACTGTAAGTATCACATCAAATGCTTTTGTTTCAGAGATACTGAGGATGGAACATAGGAAAAAAAGCTCCCCGCCTGAGGTTTTTCTGCATTATACAGTTTATAACCTTTTCAAAAGCATAATGAATAAGGCTAAAAACTCTTGGAAACCATGAGTCCACTTATGTACGTTACCTGTGCAAAACCTCATGCTGCTGAAGTGAACTACAACAAAGTTACAGAGGTTTTAGTTTAAAAATATTTAGGCGTTTTTTCCTTTAGCATAAATTGGCATATTTTGGCACACCTACAAAAGTAGAGTTTTTTTAAGTTTTTACTTACAAAACTCAAAAAAACTTGATAAATAAGCTTAAATAAGGTAAAAAAGCTTTGATGAAGGGATTATTGTGATGTGGGAGATTTACCTGCTCGTCAGAAGGAGTTTTATTTCCTCTTGTTCTGCAGACGGTCGTGAACAACGTTCTTCTGAACAGCAGTTTCACTGAAACACAGAACGGCATCATCATGGTGCTCCCGCAGGTGCTCACAGTGCAACGCAACAGATGCAGCAAAGACGTCTTCCTGCAAGTCAAAGTAAGGCTGGAGGAACGTTTATAAAAAATAAACTCTAAATAGTTTACTGTTCTAGTTTTTATATGTTAAGGCCAAATCAAATGTAACAAACAGAGGTGCTCGATATTGACTTTATATTGTTCAACACTTAATTTCTGATTCTGATATTACAAACCGATATTAAAGTGACATTACAAATCTCCTGTCAGGAACATTATGCCTGCTTTTACTGTGATTCCCCACTTAGCCTGTTAGCTTTAGCGTTAGCCCTGACACTATCACCATATATATGTATTAGCTCAGCACTACACATTCTCTCATCACTGAGGTCCTCCATCCACATGACAGAGAGGGGAACACAAAAATGACTCAGCTGCAACTGAAAATATGGATGGAGGACCTCAGTTTAGCTTGTTTGTTGCTCTAGCGCTGAGCTAATACATATAAGGCAATATAGCGTCAGAGCTAAAGCTAACAGGCTAATCTGAGGTTGTTCTTCCATGAAACAGCTCTGTTGTCCTCCATCCATATTTTCAGTTCCAGGCTGAGTCATTTCTACCTTCTCCTCTCTGTCAACGCTCTCTGGTTTCATTTAAAAGAGTCGATCATCAGATATTGTCCAAGATTAACCTTCAGGGTGGATATAGCTCGCTAGCAGCCTCGCACCGAGGACCTATCCACGTCATCATTTACCCAGAATGCTTTGTGTGGAAATAAAATGGCTCCGTCCGTGTTAAAATATATTTTTAAACTTTTACTTTAAAAATTATAAAACCTAAACAGCCTACAGTATTTTTACAGTCTTTATTTTACAGTTAAAATATATGTTTATTAACTAATCGTGGATCCCTTTAAGGTAAAAATTATTAAATAAATATAAACAAATCAAAGTGTAGGGATAAATGTGTGAATAAATGAGCTCTGATCTGTCTGTGTTTGTCCAGGGAAGGTGTTCAGATTGTGAAGGACCTCCTCGCTGCCTCTTCAGCTACTCTCCAGTAGGAAACACCTTCTGTCTTTTTTCTACAACCGTTTCTCGGTGTTTTCTTCTGCCTGATGGAGGCTGATATGTGGCTCCAACAAAGCTGTAATTCAGTGAAGAAAAGCTCCTCCACCTGCTGACAGAGGTCCTCTTTGTTCCTGCTGCAGATCAGAGAGACGTTTCCTGCCAACATGAAGCCCAACTGTGTGTACAGGAAGCGGGTCATGTCCAGGAGGAAGTCTGTGCCGGGCTGTGTCATTCAGTGTCTCCGACAGACCACGGTCAGCTGACAGTTTATTTTCCTTTCATCACAGATTTACAGAGTTAAAAACTCAGAGTTGTTCCTGCGGTTTGTAAAAACATTTCACTGAAATGAGGTGAGGGTTTGTGGTTGATGATAACGCCGACGCTCGGTGTCCCCCAGGACCACTCCTGCTGCCCCGGTTTCTACGGCCACGAGTGCTTCAAGTGCCCCGGAGACGCCGGCAGCCGTTGCTCCGGCCACGGGGAGTGTCAGGACGGTAACCACGGCAACGGAGAGTGCCGCTGCTACGAGGGTTTCCACGGCACCGCCTGCGAGGACTGTGAGCCGGGCCGCTACGGAGTCAACTGCTCCTCCAGTGAGCAACGCACACACACGGTCGTTTCTGACGTAGAGCTGAATAACACTAGAGTGAGCTGTTAGCACTGTTAGCACCTGTGACGTGGAGGGCGTCGCCTCAACTACTAGATTAACAACTCCTCAAATCAGAATTATTGCAGAAATTATTAACACTTCACAGATGGGCACCTTTTCGTTAAAACCAAAGAGGTTCTATAGAACTGGAGCTCAGAAACCACGTGGGCGTGTGATCGGCTGGTGAAGCTAACGGCTAACGCTAAACAGTCAAGAGTCTGGATTTCCCATTACTGTACATGTTGACAACAGAGCAGAAAAAAAGAACTGACAATTTAGAAATCATTAAAAC